GAGGCAGTCATTTGAACAGAACAAGGGGATACCTTGTGGTTTAAAGTCAGGAAAGGTGTGCATCAGGGTTGTATCCTTTCATCATACTTATTCATGCTGTATGCTGAGCAAATTATCCCAGAAGCTGGACTGTATGAAGAAGAACAGGGCATCAGGATTGGAGGAAGACTCATTAACAATCTGCTTTATGCAGATGACACAACCTTGCTTGCTGAAAGTGAAGAGGACTTGAAGCACCTACTGATGAAGATCAAAGATCACAGCCTTCAGTATGGATTACACCTCAACATAAAGAAAACAAAAGTCCTCACAACTGGATCGATAAGCAACATCATGATAAATGGAGAAAATATTGAAAGTATCAAGCATTTCATTTTACTTGGACCCACGATCAATGCCGATGGAATCAGCAGTCAAGAAATCAAATGACGCGTTGCATTGGGCAAATCTGCAGCAAAAGACCTCTTTAAAGTGTTAAAAAGCAAAGATGTCACTTTAAGGACTAAGGTGCACCTGGCCCAAGCTATGATGTTGTCAATTGCCTCATATGCATGTGAAAGCTGGACAATGAATAAGGAAGACTGAAAAAGAATTGATGCCTTTGAATTATGAGTTGGCGAAGAATATTGAATATATCATGGACTGCCAGAAGAGTGAACGAATCCGTCTTGGAAGAAGTACAGCCAGAATGCTCTCACATACTTTGGACATGTTATCAGGAAGGAGGGACCAGTCCCTGGAGAAGGACATCATGCTTGGTAAAGTAGAGGGTCAATGAAAAAGAGGAAGACCATCAACAAGACAGACTTACATAGTGGCTGCAACAATGAGCTCAAACATAGCAATGATTGTGAGGATGGCGCAGGACAGTGCAGTGTTCTGTTTTGTTGTACATCGAGTCGCTGTGAGTCAGAACCAACTCGACAGCACCTAACCACAACATCCATTTCCGCAATCACAGTTTATGACTTAACTAGAGAAATTACTACAGTATGAATATTTAAAATCATGCTAATTTATAAAAGGGAAATTTATGATAATATTATTTGAATAACAAATATGAACTACAGAAATTGTGGAGATTTTCAAAGGGAAATTAAAAGCTGTTAAGCTAAAACAACAGGAAATAGAATATGATGAGGAAGAATTGTCCAGCTGCTAAACTAATATACTCTCCTTCAATGTGAACTCCAATACAGTATTGTTAGTCCACATTGTTAAGTTCACTGAGAAGATATTTTAAACGGTAACTTCCATTTTCAAGTTGAATTACGTCTATAAAGCAAGCCAGAGTCCTCAGATGCCAGACATTTAGTTATATTTTTCAGCAGGTCATGGTGTCTCCCTCTCATACCCAGAAAATTGAGGTTAGCTGAATTTTATTACTAAGACATAAGACAATTTATCACTCTTTGGAATAGTTCAACCCTGTCTCTTTCTCTAAACTAACTTGATTCCTTTGCTGATTTTGCGTAAATGTTCTCCTTGGAAATATCTCCTTCTTAATCATACTGAGAAAGTAGCAAAAGAACTTGGCTGCTGGGTATATCAGTTAGAATTATCCGTATGTTTTTTACTCTCTTGAACTAATGAGTCTGATTAAAAGTAAGAGGGCAATTAAAAGAAGCTTGTCAAACTGTTGTATATGGGCAGCTTTCCCATGAGTGACCCTAAGGTTTCCTATAAGAATTACATAATACGTGTTGCTTGCTTTGCCAAACGTCCTTATCTTGCCTATGATGTAAAGCTGAGCTGTAAGAGAGAAACATTTAAAGACAAGGGTCAGCCTAAGGCCCTGAACCAACTTTATAGCTGCAAAGGGAAATTGACTAATCTTAGAAATTTGCTTTTCCTTCCTTGCCTTAGGCTTGATCCAACTGGAGGAAACTGACTGGTATTTCATGATTTTCCTTTACAATAAGCTGGGAGCAAGCTGCAGAGGAAACTAGTCAGGTCTGAGCAGAAAGGAAACTGCCTAGCACCTTCGTCAGTTTCCTGTTGTATCCAACTGATAGCAGAAAGGGGAGGATGTGATGTGGTAGGCGCTGGCCTCAGACTCCTAGATGCTGCTGATAATGCCTCCACCTTTCATTCAGGGATTCAGAGTTTTTTACCAACCTAATCTAAATTCAGACTTTAAAGCCTGCCACTTAAGAATTCCTTAACTACCCAGACCTTTAAAATGCTTCTGCTATGAAAGATAGAGAGCCAAAAGCCAAAATATTTTCTTTATAAACAGCCCCCCGATAATCTACCAAGCTCCAGAAATGCACAAGATCTGTTTCCAGAGAAATAAGCTCCTTGAGAATTTGCTAAGCTTACCATAGGCATTTCCATGGGGGGAAAATGTCTTCTGTGGTGGTTCAAGTCCAACCAGAGGCACCTCAGAAGAAAGGCCTGGCAATCTATTTCCAAAAAATAAACCATGGAAAACTCTATGTAGTACAGTTCTACTATGACACACACGGGGTTGCCATGAGTCAGAATCAACTCAATGGCAACTAGTTTGTAGTCATTTATTCTCAAGTCTCCTAGTGGCGGCTGTTTTTTAGGATCTGTTTCTCAAATATTCACAACAGGGCAAGTGACTGCTCTACTCAAAAATTCCAATGACTTCCTTTGGACTACAGGATAATTTTAGTTGCTTTTCATTTTTTAACACAGAATTTGCAACACAGTCCCAACCTACCTTGTCTCAAACCACCCTATTTTTATTTACCAAAAACAAAGTCTACACATGGCATCCCAAGTTTCAGAACTTGGGCTTAGGCTGGGCTGTCATCCAAAATGTCCTCACCATTTCTATTCTCCTCTGCAAGTACTGTCCATAATTCAAGTCCACTTCAAGTTGCTGCTTCCCCATCAAGTCTTTCCTGACAACTCCAGGCACAAAGAAGTCCCACAAATCTAGCAGCATTTATTGTCTCTATTGCTCACTTGTTCTTTCATCACTTCACTGGTGGAGCATGTCTTGTGCTGTTTTGTTGTACAGTATTGCTTCTTAATCCTTGAATTCCTGTAATAATTGCAGAAGGAAGATTCTATGTCTTACTTCTTTATATGCTGTGCATCATTCAGAATAATATCTTCAATCTGGTAATATGTATTTTGCTGTTAGTTGCTGTTGAGTTGGCTCTAACTCATGGTGACCCCTTATACAGCAGAACAAAACATTGCCAGTCCTATGCTATCTGAATGATCAATGGTATGCTTGAGTCCATTGTTATGGCCACTGTGTACTTAGACTGCCTTCCAATCTAGATGGCTTATCTTCCAGCATTGTCGTGGATTGAATTGTTCTCCCAAAAATATGTGCTGTAAATCCTAACCTCTATGCCTGTAGTTATAATCCCATCTGGGAATAGGTTATCTTTGTTATCTTAATGAGGAAGGATTAGTGTAGGGTGTGTCTTGAGTCAAGCTCTTCGGAGATATAAAAGAGATTAAACAAACAAGCTGGCAAGCATAGATGGGGGAAGATAGATGCCACACCACATGAAGATCACCAAAAAGCCAAAGAACAAGGACCTTCACACAGAACCGACAGAGACAGAAAGCCTTCCCTTAGGAGCAGCACCCTGAATTCATCATCTAGCCTCCTCAACTGTGAGAAAATAAATTTGTTTGTTAAAGCCATCCACTTGTGGTATTTCCGTTATAGCAGCACTAGATGACTAAGACAAACACTATTCTGTTTGTGATAATATTCTGTTGTGATCCACAGGGTTTTCATTGGCTAATTTTCAGAAGTAGATCGCCAGGCCTTTCTTCCTAGTCTGTCTTAGTCTGGAAGCTCCGCTGCAACCTGTCCACCATGAGTGACCTTGCTGGTATTTGAAATATCAGTAGCATAGCTTCCAGGATCATAGTAACACACAAGCCACCACAATAGGACAAACTGACAGACAGGTGGTAGAATACATATTTTAGATTAATTTATTGAAAGTATGTGGTAGTAAGGGGGTACAAACACAACCATGTATAAACATAAATGAAGTAGAATGTAGAATAACGTAGCACAACAAGAATATCATCATTGGTTTGAGAAACTTAAATTGGTTAGGCTCTTGTATCCTCGCAGATTTATGATTTTACAGGAAATACCTTGACTATTTTAATCAACCAACCAATCAAACAAACAAAAGAAGCAAAAATCCCTTTCTGAGCACCTACTGTATTGAAATCATTTATGTACCACCCAGATAGCTCAGCAATAGTTGATCTCTACTCCCAAACCTCAGACACTTGCTATGCTTCCTACTGATGGCTCCTGCTGTTCTTTTAGTTTTAAAGCTCTGGCTGCCTCTGTTCCCACCACTGCCACCATCATTGTGATGGAATGAGGAGTCCCTGGGTACAGTGTCGCCTGATAAGGAGGGACCGCTGCGTGTGCATATTGCCTTTACCAGAGGCTTCCTAGAGGGGCTGGAAAACACAGTAGGACACAGTAAGACAAAGGAATTAATGTCCCCTCAGGAGAGTCCCTAGAGGGTACAAACAGTTAATGCACTTGGCTGCTAACCAAAAGGTTGGAGGTTCGAGTCCACCCAGAGGTGCCTAGGAAGGCCTGGTGATCTACTTCCAAAAAATCTGCCACTGAAAACCCAATGGAGCACACTTGTGCTCTGACACCCAGGGGTCACCATGAGTTGAAGTTGACTAGTTGTTTTTTGTTTTTGTTTTTTAGGGGGTAGAATTTAATCAGTCAGGAGACTGGGAGGCCTCAACAGTTAAGAGATACAGTGTTTCCTATGGGCTTTCTGGATACCAAACCACCAGCTGTGTCTTGTTGGGAAGCTGTGGCCAGCTCACTAATACAGCCCCTTGTACTCACTCTCCTTCCTGCCCTGATTCATTCCCTTTTTCTCTTCGTTCTCAGTTCCCTGGACTCACACCCCTCTCTAAAATGATGGTATGTAAAGCTGTTGCCTCAGGCTCTGTTTTCTAGGAAATCTGAATATCTACTAAACGCTAAGTGTTAGGAAGAAGACATCGTTTTCTATAGTTATAAACGGACTTTTTTATGTATTTTTTTTTTTTAAATAAGTAATATACTCACATGGTTCAAACATGTAAAGTCACAAAAGGATAAACAATTAAAACTTCCCTCCTACATCTGTACCCCTGCGCCATCCCCATTCCCCCCGCCCTCGAGTCTTACACCCTGTTTCTCTCCCAATAATACATTGTTTCATATTCGTACATAAAAACTTCCATGACATTTTTGGCTGCATAATATTCTAACATATGGAAGATATTTAGGTTCTTTGGTTTTTTGTTTTGTTTTGTTTTTAATCGCTTTAAGGGTATTGGAAAGGAGCCCTGGTGCCGCAATGGTTAAAGCACTCAGATGCCAACCCAAAGGTTGGCAGGTTGAAACCACCAGCAGCTTAGCAGGAGAAAAGAGCTACCTACAGCCTAGGAACCCCTATGCCCTATGGGGCATTTCTACTCTGTCACATTGTGTCGCTATGAGTCAGGATGGACTTGACAGCACACAACAATTGCTGATGAAATTTTAAGTTGTTTCTCACTTCTGCTATTACAAACAAAATAGAAATGAATTAGCATTGTATGTCCGTTGTTTTGCACATATGCCTGTGTATCTATAGGATCAATTTCCAGAAATGATATTACTGGGTCAGTGGGTGTGTGCATCTATGGCACAGGAGTGCCTGTTGTTGCCTATCCTCAGCAACGCGTGTGTTAGCAAAGTTGTTGCTTTTTACTTACTTACTTAGTGAAAAATGGTATCTCCGCATATTTTTTTATTTTACTTTTCTTATTATGAGTATAAGGTTAAATATAATTTCAGATGTTCAAGAGCATTTGTTTTTTCCTTTTCTGTGCGCTGCTTGTTTTTGAAGAAATCTTCACAAAGGGAACAGTCTTTGGAGCTGCTATTTTGGAACCCTATGCACCATGACTCAAAGCAGATTCAACTGAGGACTTTAACACAACTTTCACTATCACTGCTTGAGATACTGCAATTTATATCATCTCCAAGTTGCAAAGTCTAGTCCCCACATTCAAGGAGCTCACAGTCTAGCAGTAAAGAAAGGCAGTGAGGAGAAGGGAGTAAATCAGGCTAAAGAGTAGTCAGCTGTCCCAATTGTAATGCCCAAAGAGGCATGGCTAGCTTGGCTGCTGAGGGCTGATGTTGGTACCCAAAGGCCCCACCTTGTGGGTGGGGGTACCACAGCTGGTGTCTCCAAGCAGTATCAGGGCTGACAGGGAAGTGGATAGCAGCACCTTGGTTCTAACAAACACTCTCCAGGGTGAAGCTGGACTCCAGCCAGTAGTCGGCGGGGCCAGGACAGGCAGGGACTGAGACAACATTACAAGCGTTAGAGTAAAGCTATTTACAAACTGTTATGGGTATACAGAGAAGAAGAAGGGTTGAAATATTCCTTCCCACCAACTGTCTGTCATTTTGTTATACTGTCGGCTTGCGTGTTAATGCTGGAAGCTATGCCGCTGGTGTTTCAAATACCAGCAGGGTCACCCATGGTGGACAGGTTTCAGTGGAGCTTCCAGACTAAGGCAGACTAGGAAGAAAGGCCTGACAATCTACTTCTGAAAATTAGCCAATGAAAACCTCATGGATCACAACAGAACACTGTTGGACATGCTTGTTTTAGAAACGTCATCAAGGTGTAACAATCACTGGAGGAGGACATCCTGTCTGGTGAAGTGGAGGGCCAGCAAGAGTGAATGAGACCCTCGGTGAGACAGATGGGCACCATAGGTATGGCCAACTATGGGCTCAAATATGCCAACCATTGTGAGAAAAATGCAGCATTTCATTCTGCTGTACATAGGGTTGCCAGGAGTCGGAGTCAACTCGACAGCAGCTGTCTAAATATTCCTTTAAGGGAAGATGGAAGTGAGCTCTAGAAAAGTCTCACACTGAGCTGACTTTTGAACAGGGCTTGAAAGATAACTCCGAATAGCCAGGCAAACAGCCCTTCCAAGCACAGGGAATATATGGAGCAAAGGTATACAGGCTTGGGGAGTCCCTAAGGGGTGCAAACAGTTAAGACTCGGCTGCTAACCCAAAGGTTGGAGTTTTGAGTTCACCCAGAAGCACCTTGGAAGAAAGGCTTGGCAATCTACTTCCAAAAAAGCAGCCATTGAAAATCCTATGGAGCCAGTTCTACTCTCACACATATGGGATCGCCATGAGTTGAAGTCACCGTGATGGCAACTGGTTATAGAGGCCTAAGGTATTTTCTGTGAATGATAAGTAATCCACGGTGGCCAGAGAACAGGAAGAGAATGTGTCTGTGGCATGTGTGTGTGTAGGTAAGGGCTATGAAAGACGGGCAGAAGAAAAGAAAATAAAGTCACTCTTTAATTAAAAGTGTTTCCTCCTTAGGGTTCTCAACTGAGCTCAGTTTTTCTTACTGATTTTATTTAGCATAATGAAAAGCCCTGACATAAATATGACTTGGAATGATGTATAACAACCTATTTTGGGGTAAATAGATGGAGAAGCCCACCAGGTCAGAGAGGGTTGGCCCCTCCTAGTCATCTGCCTTCTTGTTCCTTGAAAATCAAAAATAAATCCCAGGGCATGAAGGCTAACGGCTATGTTTGTAAGGACAGAGCAGCACAGAATCGGGGGTGGAATAAAGCAAAAAACTTCTAAAAGAACAGGAAATGTATGCCCCTTTTATATTTATGGTAATTAGAGCTGTAGGAATAAAGAACAATAAGAAAGTAGATGCAGAGGTCAGTGGAGTGGAATTAGCTACATTACAGAGCTCTAATGATACCCACTTTTTAAACACCTAATAGATTTTACTAATGAATACTCCAGAGCTATAACCATTTAAAAAATCTGCTTGGCTTTAACAAGAAAAAATACATGATAATTATTTTTTCAAAGAGACATTGCCAAGGTTTATCCATGCCAAAACACTGAGGGAAATTTTACTGTCAAATGAACCACAAAAAAGAGACGATAATAAGAGAGAGGCTTACAAAGACTCTGTCATCTGCAGACACATTGGCATGCTCTATTCTTCTTTCTGCTCTTCTTCAAACTGTTTTTCCCTAATCCTTGATGTTTATATTATCCACCCCCTTAAAATCCAACAATGTGACATATTACAGGATTAAAAACAAAAGAGATAAATTCCCAAATCTTTATATATAAGGTAAAACTATAACAGAGGCTCAAATGACCTCACTAATAACCTATAAAGTCCTTGGGTGGTACAACAGTTAATGCATTCGGCTGCTAACTGAAAGGTTGGAGGTTTGAGTCCACCCAGAGGTGCCTCAGAAGAAATTCCTGGAGATCTACTTCCAAAATATCAGCCACTGAAAACCCTGTCGAGCACAGTCCTACTTTGACACACATGGAGTTGCCATGAGTTGGAATCAATGGCAGTAAGAACAACAAATATCCTATAATGTCATTCAGCCTAGCCCCACAGATGCAGGCAATGGCCATGTCCAGTCAGTTCTTCTTTTGTAATGATTATTGTCTACATCTTCCTTGTTTCAAGATTCAGGGAAAACCAGAACAAGAACTGTCCTTTCCCTTTAGGGTAGTAGGAAAGGTAGGGGATGGAAGAACTGAGGATGGGGTTGCAGCAGCTAAGTAAGAAGTGATTACACTGGACAAGCTATATACAGATCAGCTGAGGTTCTGTGGTCATTGTGCGTGGCAGACACTCAGAATTGCTTACTCAACTACGATTCCCCCTTCTTGCCTGCTAACCAAGCCCTAACTTTATTCAGGAAAAAAATGCCCAGCACGTGGTATGAGTGATGACTGGTTTGAGCCAATCATGTTGAACCCAGTTTCCTTTGCAGGTGTTTGGTCTATGAGTGGGCGTATGACCCAGACTTGGCCAGTGCTATATCAGAAGTTGGTTGAGGGCTTGAGGGAAAGACTTTATTGTCTGATAAAAAAGAGGAGAGGGAGGAGAAAATCCTTTTTGTCTTCCTTTCCTTACTTCCAGCTTGGATACTATTGTGCCAGGAGTTGTATCTTTCTTTACTGCTAGAGCAGTTGCAGCCATCTTACAATCACAAGGGGAGACACTGCTGGCTCACAGAGACGGTTGTTGTTAGGTGCCATCAAGTTGGTTCCAATTCATAGCGACCCTTTGTACAACAGAAGGAAACACTGCCCAGTCCTGCACCATCCTCACAATCATTGCTATGTTTGAGCCCATTGTTGCAGCCACTGTGTCATTCCATCTTGTCGAGGGTCTTCCTCTTTTTCAATGACCCTCTACTTTACCAAGCATGATGTCTTTCTCCAAAGACTGGTCCCTCCTGATGACATGTTTAAAGTAGATGAGACAAAGTCTCACCAGCTTCACTTCTAAGTAGCATTCTCTTTGTATTTCTTCTAAGATAGATTTGTTCATTCTTCTGGCAGTCCATGGTATATTCAGTATTCTTTGCCAACACCATAATTCAAATGCATCAGTTCTTCTTTGGTCTTCTTTATTCATTGTCCAGCTTTCACATAAATATAAGGTGACTGAAAATACCATGGCTTGGGTCAGGCGCTCCTTAGTCTTCAAAGTGACATCTTTGCTTTTTAACACTTTAAAGTATCACTGAGGAGACACGGTGAAATCAGCATTCTTGATAACATCGTTGAATTACCAAACCAACCTTGAGACAGGCTTCTTGTTAAGTAAACAACAAATATCCTGATGGTCTTAGGCCACTATTTGTCAGGCTTTGTTTCTTGTAGCTGAAAACATCCTATACATGGTAGAAACCAAGTAAGTAACCAGGGAAGCAATGTCAGGTGAAGTGCGAAGAGTGAGGTGAAGCAGTAAGTGGGAGAAGGGGTCCAAGAGCACATCAGAAGGCAGTGTGGGAAACAGGTTGGGAAAATGTTCAGGACTGAGGGTGTGTCTGGTGAGTTCGTGGAGGCCTGCCTTAATGTGGTCATGACTGTGTGAGGCAGGGGTAGTGCTGACAGCTTAAAGAATCAGTGCAGGTCTAGACATCTGCCAAATCCACCCCGTCTTTTCTTTTTTCATTCTTATAGCACATCTTAGCCCTTAGTCCTTATTACCTCATGCTTGGAATCTCAGGCTTCCCAGTTGGTCTCCTGTCTTGTCTCTCCTCACTCCAACACATCCTGGAGATGGTAGCCAGATTAGTCACTAATCATATCACTTGCACACTTCAAAAACTTATTCTGTACCTTGTTCTTTACCTTTTACCTCATATATTTTAGAAGAAACAGTAGTGATTGGCGATTTGATGACATGACAATATCTACTGATTAAGCATTCAGTAAGTAGTTGTTATTCTTATTACTTATGTCTAGATTAACATTTTCTCATGCTAGTCAACTACTGGTTAAATAATTTTATGACTTTACATTTGTGCCATGTTTTTTAGAAAACTGACAAATTTGAATAACTGATATTTTGAATTTGAGTCTCTATTGGTCAAAATTGTTTTGAAAATAATTTTTAACTAGTTCCACCTTTATAGCACACTTTGACCATTGCAATAACCCCATTTGGTATTTGTGTATCTTTTGCATGTTCTTGATTCTACCACTTTGTTCTTATCACTCTCTCTATCTAGAAAGCTCTCGTCTTCCCTTTGCTGAATCTTAAATTCTCTAAGTTTCACACATCATGTGAGGCCTTTCCTGACCACTGTAATTCACAGTGATTCCTCTTTCTTATGAGTTCCTACAGAGCTTAGTGTCAGTGTTATTCATCATTCTTTCTAAATGTATGTGTAACCCAAATGCTCCACCCATCCCTCTAGTATTAGAGTAAATCAAGCTCCCATTGCACGTAGCTCTGCTCTCCTGAGAAGAACACTCAAATTTACTGAGTCTATAATTTCTTGCTCCAAATCTTACTCCCAGCTCAATTCTTAATCCCCTCTCACCATCTTGTTTCCTGCAATTTATGTCCTCTCTTAACACTGCTTTTCTCCATAAAGGCACATAACTTCTTTGTTCCTTTTAGTACCTCTAACATAAGGCTGTTCCATATAATGAATTTTTACTAAACATCTGGAAAAATAGAGGATAATTGAGCTTAGAACAGAAAATGAGTAAAAGTTCTATATAAAATATAATCAAATAATTAAAAATTATTGAGCACTTACTATGTGTCAGAAACTGTGCGAAGAATTTTACATGCATTATTTTATTTAATATTTACAACATCCTTACACCCACTGTCATACAGCTGGCAAGTTAAGGAGTCATGATTCAAACGCAAGTCTTTCTGGCTCTACAGTCTGCAATAATCATCACAGTTCCCGAAGTTCACTGGCCTCAGAGACTCTCTTACTGTATGTAGTAGATTTTGTTGATTACTTACACAGTGTTCACTCCAATTCTCTCTGTACCTTCTTGTGCAGCCTTGATTTTGTTCAGAAATCCATTGTTTTCCATGCACCACATGTCTCAGACAGGTCTGAGGGCTGCATCCTGATTGGTCTTAGTAATTATATTGTCAATGGTTGGTTTAGGCATGGACATGTGATGTAATCTGGCCAATGAGGCATGAAAGGAAATTTGGGCTGCTTCTAGGAAAGGTTCCCCTCTCCCAAGAGAGACACACAGAAAGAAATAGTCTCTTCCTCCAAGTACTGTCCTGTTCAGAGGTGATGCATGAACAGCTGTGTCCATCTTACAACCATGATGGGGTTATCTGAGGACAAAGAACACAACAAAGAGCTTGAAAGAAAGAAAAGAAGAAAAAAAGAAAGAGGAAAAAAAAACTTGTCTTTATTATTATTGTTAGCCCACCAAAATATTTTATCTTGAACATTCCTACCTCTGTACTCCTTGTGAATAATATTTTTATTGTTTATGCCACGTTGAGCTCAGTTTTCTGTTACTTACAACCAAAAACATCTTAACAGACACACTGGCTTCTCTCTCCTTAGACTCCAGGCTCCTGCCTTTGCAAGGACTCACTCTTATTCTAACATCAATAGCTTTCTCTGAGTCTCAGACTCCTTAAACCTCTCTTTAAATGTCAGAGAGCACTCTCAAGACCCTATTACTTTATTACAGAAAGCAATTTAGTTCCCTTTGTCTCAACTTCTCCCATCTAGCCTCAGATCCCTGCCCCCTACTTTTATTACCAACCAAAACCAGTTTCCTTCGAGTCAACTCTGACTCATGGCAACCCCATGTGTGTCAGAGCAAAACTGTGGCCCATAGGGTTTTCAATGGCTGATTTTTTGGAAGTAGATCACCAGGCCTTTCTTTTGGTTAACAGTGAGCATGTTAAGCATTTGCACCACCTAGGGACGCCTTCATTGCAAAAAGGTCCACTTAATGAGTTTCCTAAAGAATTCTTCCCCAGAGATAAGATACTGAAGACCAGGGATCACACCACCTGAGTTCAAATCTCAGCTCCATTTCTCACTAGCTGTGTGATTTTTGACAAGTTACTTAATTTTTTAAGGCCCATTGTCATCTGTAAAATGGTAATAATAATTGTGAAGCTCGAATGACATCATCCTCACAAAGCCTTTAGAAAAGTGCCTCGCACTTGTAAGCATTCCAAAAAAAAAAAAAAAATTCTGATGAGAAGCACAGGAAACTAGCTAAGGTAGGCAGAGAAGGAGTTTTCTAGTCTATGTGCTAGCTTATAGAATGGAAAGCTCAGCTGGATAATCAGTCTCAGAAAAGACAAAGACCATGGTGATCCAGATAGCAAGCAGAAAGTGATCTTTTTCAGTCTTTTTATTCCTCTGCTCAAGATTCAGATTCCTGGGAGCAAGCATCTGATTGACCTAGCTTGGCTCATGTACCTACCTCTTTGTTTTGCTGGCTCGGTTAATAGTGCAACAGACTGTCTCCAATAGTTTCCCAAACAAACTTGGAGTACTGTCACCTGAAGAAGGAGTAATATAAACAAACAAATAAGCAAATAAAAACCTCTCTATACTAGTTACTCTATATTTGTTATATTAAAGTTATAGGACAAGGATTATACTTTATTGGAGACATTGCCTAATATCCTTATTTGGCCATTATTAATAATCAAGGTTTGTTGGTTGGTTTTTCTTATACGCTTGACTTGTAACACTAATCCTTTGTATTTTTAAGGCTAGGTACAAAAAGAAAATTGTTGTTGTTGCTGTTGTTAGGTGTCATTAAGTCCATTCTGACTCATAGCAACCCCATGTGACAGAGTAGAACTGTTCCATAGGGTTTTTGGCTGTAATCTTTATGGGAGCAGATCACCAGGTCTTCTCCCACAGAGCCGAGGGTGGGTTCGAACCACCAATCTTTTGGTTAGTAGCCAAGCAATTAATTGTGCCACCAGGGCTTCTAAAAAGAAAATGCATGTTCCTTTTTTGAGTTTTGTTTTTTAAGCTCAGGAAGTATGTCAAAAATAATTATAAAGGACTAGAACAAGGCTATTTTTGAAGGGGGGAGTCCCTGGGTCCTGTAAATAGTTAACTGCACTTGGCTGCTAACTGAAAGGTTGGAGGTTTGAGCCCACCCAGAGATGACTCAGAAGTAAAGCCTAGTGATCTACTTCTGAAAAATCAGCCATTGAAAACCCTATAAAGCACAGTTCTACTCTGATACAGATGGGTTGCCATAAGTTGGAGTTGACTCAACGGCAGCTGGTTATTTTTGAAGGGTGGGGGAAGCAGGGTAAGGGTGAGGTTTTTATGAACCAAAAATACCAATAAAAAAGGAAAACAGAGAGGGACTATATATACATATATGTATATACAATTATATATACACATACACACATATATGCATAAGACTCTGTTGTTGACCTGTTTTATCCATCCTTTTCTGAATTTTGCACAGATTTCAGCCTTAGAGGATGAAGTAGAAAGAGAAAGAAGGAACGGGTAGGAAAATATCACAATGGTCTAACTGGGTCTTCTTGTTTATCTTCAGCAGGAGTGCTCTCTTTACTTAAAGCACTAGCAAAAAGATTGCATGACCACCTTCAGCATTACATTCTTTTAAGAACTATCTATATGAGATCATATTGACAACAGCATCTTGAAAGATTAGATAGGAACCTTAGGGGGGAGTGAGTTTATGTTGATTGTGGAGGAACAACTCAGAGAAGCAGGGTGAGGATGGTTGCACAACTCAAAGAATGTAATCAATGTCACTGAACTGTACATGTAGAAACTATGAATTGCTGTATATTTTGCTGTATATATTCTCAACAACAACAACAAAGTAAACAAAATTTAACAATTGCATGTTGCATCTGTAGGCAAAACCTTCCATAAAACATTAGCTTCACTGTTTATCACTTTTTTTATTCCTACAATTTCAACTACCAGTCTGTGCCAATTTTTCATTATAAACCTATCTTTCCTTCAAATCCATTTCTATAGTCAAAGACATCCTGGATTCTAGTCACCTTGTGGCTGAACTGCTGCCATAGCTTATCCTTCCTCCATTCTTTTCTGTGAAGTCACAGCACGAGTCAACTTCCTCAAACATTGTTTTGGCCCGGTGCCTTTCAAATCATACTTAAACTCCTGATCCAGATGTGGAGCAATCTGGCTGAGACATCTGTCGCCCCTTTGTTCACCAGCGTTGATTCTACTGATCTGACGGGTAAGGCATATGTCCTCCTTCCTCCCTCCCTGCCCCATTCCTCCCTCTCCTCTGAAGCTGCACAGGCAGAAACATTCAAATAGACATACAAACAGGAAGGGAAGCCATGGTCTTGGGTGAGGTTGCCTAGGGAAAATGTAGAGAGTAAGAGGAGAAAGGGAGCTAGGGCTAAGTATTGTTGTTAGGTGCCGTCAAGTTGGTTCCCACTCATAGCGACCCTATGGACAACAGAACAAAATACTGCCAGGTCCAGAGCCATCCCCACAATTGTTGCTGTTTGAACACATTGTTGCAGCCACTGTGTCAATCTGTCTCGTTGAGGGTCTTCCTCTTTTTCACTGACCATCTACTTCAGCAAGCATGATGGCCTTCTCCAGGGACTAGTCCTTCCTCATAACATGCTCAAAGTATGAGACGAAGTCTTACCACCCTCGGTTTTAAGGAGCATTCTGGCTGTACTTCTTCCAAGACAGACTTGTTTGTTCTTCTGGTATATTCAATACTCTTCACCAACACTGTAATTCAAAGGCATCAATTCTTCTTCAGTCTTCTTTATTCATTGTCCAGCTTTCGCATTCATATGAGGCCATTGAAAACACCATGGCTTGGGTCAGGCACACCTTAGTCCTCAAAGTAGTATCTTTGCTTTTTAACACTTTAAAGAGATCTTTTGCAGCGGATTTGCCGAGTGCAATAGGTCATTTGATTTCTTGACTGCTGCTTCCATGGAGGACGAATTATTAGGGAACTCATTAGAGTTGAATGGCAGAGTGAAGGAGGAAGATCCTGAAAGGAAGCAGAGAAATCAATGTCAGGGAGGTAGGAGGAAAACCTACCTAGTGTTGTGGAAGCCAAGGGAAGAGTAAAGTAAAAGTAAAGAGAGGTTTATAGAGTCAGATGCTACTGGAAGTTCAAGTATACAGAGGACTGAAAATATCCCATGTTTAGTGTCATGGAGATTATTGGTGACAAGTGTGAGAGGGATCCTGCCTACATTCTGAGTGACTTCAATAACCACACGTTGTTGTTGTTAGTTGTCATCAGGTGTTGGCAAAGAATATTGAATATACTGTAGACTTTCAGAAGAATGAACAAATCAGTCTTAGAAGAAATACAACTAGAATGCACCTTAGAAGCAAGGATGGTGAGACTTCAGCTCAGTTACTTTGGACATGTCATCAGGAAAGGCTAATTGCCAGGAAAAGGCATCATTTACATGTAAACATCTGTATTAGTTTCCTCAGGCTGCTGTAACAAATTACTTCAAAGTAAGTGGCTTAAAACAACAGAAATTTATTGTCTCATAGTTCTGGAGTTTACACGTCTGAATTCAGGGTGTTGGAAGGGCCATGCTGTCTCTGAAGTCTCTATGAAAAGATCCTTCCTTGTTTCTTCTCGTTTCTGGTAGTCCTAGGTGTTCCTTGGCTTGTGGCAGCTTAACTCCAAACTTTGTCTCTATTGTCACATGGCCACCTTCCCTCTGCATGTCTCTGTGTCTCTTCTCCTCTTCTTATAAGGACACCAATTATATTGGATTAAGGTCTATCCTACTCCAGTATGACCTCGTGTTAACTTAAATAATAACAATTGCAAAGACACTATTCCCAAATAAGTCACATTCACAGGTACCGGGGGTTAGGACTTCAGCATATCTTTTGGGGGGACACAATTCAACCCATAACACCATCCATTCATATTTTCTGACGCATAACTTTCAGTAAAAGTGAGTCATGACAGATTCAGGTCATTGCTGGCTCCATGGCTAACCTCTTCCTCCTTTCCCTTTCCTCCCTTGGTACACTTCATTCTCCCTGGCATACTCTCTGGCTCTCACACATATTCTGATATTTTCTGCATAAAACTGACTTAAGTGTCCTGTTTCCCCAAGTAGAATATTTATGTCTCCTCTCTGTCAACTTGTCTCTCACCCCTGCTTCCAAACGGTGGTTAAACACTCTTCTCCTCCAAAGCCTTTTCCTAGATTAACTCTGTTTGGCCTCAAAAATATTTTTATTATTGCTATTTTTTATTTTCTATTTTGTAATAAAAATATACACAACAAAAGATAGACCATTTCAACAATTTCTACATATTCAATTTAGTGGCACTGATTACATTCTTCAAGTGGTACAACCATTCTTGTTATTCTTTTCCAAATTATTCCACCACCATTAACATAGACTCACTGCCTCCTAAGCTTCTCATCTAACCTTTTGAGTTGCTGTTAGCAATTTGATCTTATGTAGATAATTCTTTAAAAGAATACAATGCTCAAGGCAAACATAATTAACTAAGCTAAACCATCATTTGGCCTCAAAACTCACCATTGTCTTCACCTCCATTATCTATTTAATAATTTTTTTCTTATAAATAATGGTAAAAAAAATTTATCATACATTCACCAATTGTTTATTAATGTAACATTCCACAGATATTTATGGAACCTCTAAAACACATCAGGCACTGTCATAGTTGCTGGAGACACAATCCCTGCCCTTAAACAGCTCAGTCTGGTAAGGATGCTGCTGGGCTTTGTAGAGAGAAGTTTTTGTCTTGAGGTTAAATTTAAAAATGTAAATGGCCAAGGGAAAAAATATCACTCTATAGAAATATTTTTACAACTCTTTTGGGAGATAATATCATATTACAATTTCTGTTAGTACTCTTTCCCATCGCTGACTAAATTAAGTATCAAATAAATTCACCACCCTGATCTTTTTATATGCCTACAGTAGAAATTCTGCAACAGAACTTTTTAGTGCTACTCCCCTCAGTTCCCCTACACATATTCTATGTTCCAGTAAAACTGAATTACTTTGTTTTCTCCTTTCTAAAATGCAACTGATGACCATAAGATATATCATCAATTAAATAACATTTTAGAGAAAAAAGAAACAACCGTTGTACATTCAGATAGCGATTATAAAACACATAACGATTATGCAGATTCGAAAATGTTAAAATGGTACTGGTGGACTGGTGCAGGAAAATGAAGTATACATCTTAAAAAAAAAAAAAAACCAAACCCATTGCCGTCGAGTTGATTCTGACTCATAGCGACCCTATAGGACAGAGTAGCCCCATACGGTTTCCAAGGAGTGCCTGGTGGAGTCAAACTGCTGAACTTTTGGTTAGCAGTCATAGCTCTTAACCACTACACCACCAGGGTTTCCGTGTACATCTTGCAGTCAAAGAAATAGTGTTTATTGCTCTCAGAAAATGCTTTGCATTTTTTAGGCACAAAATCTTTGCTTATACTTTTCTTTCTATTTAGAACATCTCTTCCCCTACCCTCACCTACAACCTATCCAGCTTTTAAGGTTTCCTTACTCTCCTGAAGCCTGTCCTGGTCCTACCAACCAAATGTGATCTTTTCTTCATTCACACATTCATTCAACAAATACATATTGAAAGCCTACTATGTGTCATAGTTCCCTGGGTGGCACAAATGGTTGAATGCTCAACTACTAACCAAAAAGTCGGTGGTTCAAACTCACTCAGAGGTGCCTCAGAAGGAAGGCCTGGTGATCTGCTTCTGAAAGGTCACAGCCTAGAAAACCCCATGGAGCACAGTTCTACTTGGAAACAGATGGATTTGCCATGAGTCAAAAATGACTCAACGGCACTGGGTTTGTTTTGGGGTTACTATGTGCCAGACACTTTTCTAGGCATCAAGGACACAATGGCAAATAAGACAGACATAGTCCTGTCTACATGGAGCTTATATTCTACATGGGGAGACAGACAAAAATTAAGTAAATGAGCAAATAAATGAAATAATTGTAATGAATACTATGAAGAAAAGAAACAAGGGGCTGAGAAAGAGAATCATAGAGGGTAGTCATCCAAGGAGGTCAAAATGTAAGCTAAGACCTAAAGGGAGAGGAGGAGTTATGCAGTAGAGTGGGAAGAAGAACATTCTAGGCATAGGGAAGAGCAAAAGCCACAAGGTAGAGCTGAATTTGATGTGTTTAAGAAACACATCTTTCCTTCCTTTGAACCTCCAGAGCATTTTATATCTTCCTTTGGGGCTTATGAGAGCTTCCTTTGATCATAGTTCTTGTTATCGTTTTCTTATCTCCACTTCCATCCTTACTAACTAGTAAGCATCTTGAGAACAAGGATTGAGTCTAATTCATCTATGTTTTCCTTTACAGTGCCTAGGACAGTACCTTGCACAAATTAGATATTTAATAATTTCTTTATGAATTCCATAAGACTACAAATTGGGACATATTTACTTAGTCTATCATATCATTTTTATTGCATTACATTTTAATTTTCTACTTTGGGTTTTTAACAAAAGTTGCTCTAATTGCCATATTAAATCACTACAGTATTTGCTGTAAAATGTTATTGAAGACATTAATCAATAAGTTATTCATTGCACTGTCTCTGAGTTCCATTTGGAATTCAGTGTTAGCACGAAGTTTACTTCTGAACTGGTATGCTTCTTCCCTTCAGAAACCAAGATTTAAATAATGGATTGTATTTCACCTTATTGCTATGGGTGCTAGGACACTCAGAATCAATTTGCGTAACAATTAAAGAAACATGTTTATCCATATGGCTATAAATCTGTGTTTTTCTGTTTTTCAGATCCTGATTTCTCTCTTTATATTGATTAATATCACACTTTGCCAGGCTCTAAGAGATGGTGTGTAGTGTCTGGGTATTAAAAGCTTGTGAGTGGCCATCTAAGGTAAGTTTACTGGTCCCACCCCATCTAGAGCAAGGGAGAATGAAGAAAATCAAAGACACAAGGGAAAGATTATTCCAAAGGACTAATGGACCACAACTACCACAGCCTCCACCAGACTGAGTCCAGCACAACTAGATGGTGCCCAGCTACCAGCACTGACTGCTCTGACAGGGATCATAATAGAAGGTCCTGAACAGAGCTGGAGAAAAACATAGAACAAAACTCAAACTTACCAAAAAAGATCAAACTTACTGGTATGACAGAGACTGGAGAAACCCGGAGAGTATGGTCCCCGGACACCCTTTTAACTCAGTACTAAAGTCATTCCTGAAGTTCACCCTTCAGCCAAAGATTAGACAGACCTATAAAACAAACAATAGTACATGTAGTTCAACCATGGATTCAAGACTGAATGTGCACACCAGCCCAAAAGCAAAGACAAGAAGGCAGGAAGGAACAGGATACGTAGACAATTGGAAATGTGAACCAAAAGGGGAGAGTGTTGTTGACACATCGTGGGATTGGCAACCAATGTTATAAAACAATGTGTGTATTAATCGTTTAATG